AGTGGTTTCTAACGGTATTCCCGGCCGGCCCGCTACAGTGCCGTTAGTAATCCTACAGGACCCTTTCTTGCAGAAGAGCCAGCGTCCGCGGAGGACGCGGACATTTATTACAGGTAACATGCATTTAAAAGCTGCGTAGCATAGAGCCATGCCGTTTTCAGCGTTGGCCCCTGAGGCAAAGCCCACCCACAAAACAGTTACGCTTCAGGCAGACTGCTCAGTAAAATACGTAAAAACAGGAAACTAACCTGTGTGCCCGGTTACAGTTGACAGATCGCACCTGGCTAACGCAGGCGCAGCGTGCGTGCACGTAACATTGCTTTTCCGCTCCGTCTGTTCTCTGCCCCTTCAAAATTTCTCTCCTTTTGCTCCCCTGCTGGATTTAGGCCCGGCCGTGCCTCGCTGACGGCTCTGGGGTCTCAGCCTTCAGGCTCTCTTTCCACGTCTCACATGTGCCTAAGGTGCATGGCAGAGGCATGCTGGTCAGGCCTGAGGGATGCTAAAAGCAGCTGGTACTGCTGCCAGTGCCACAGGGCTGGGCCAGCCCCCTGGGGACGCACCCTGACGACGGCTGGATACCCAGGAGGGACAGCAAGAGCCTTGGCAAAGGACAAGCAGTCCCACGCTTCAGACTGATGGCTATGCTGGCAGGAAAAAAAATGTCCATTTTCCACTTATACTGGCTCCCTTAAACCTGCCAGATAATACTTTAAACCTATATATTACAGGTATTATTAGACCTATTTGCCTTTAAAGCACAAAGTCCTAATGCAAGCGATATGTCCACATCTTATTACTGGATGTTGCTTGGGTACCTGTTGCCTGCTTTGCCAGTTTTAAATAGCTTGATAGCAAAGAGGTTTTTTTTTTTTTTTAAATACATAATTATGCCATTGCTCTTTATGACTGAGGCATCAAAGTTGTACTTCAAATATAAAATCGTAATAGCAAAATTTTTTTTAAAAGCTGCATTTTCTTTAGCTACATGAAGTATATACAACTGGTATGCATGTTCTCATCTAAAATACCCTGTCGGGTGTGGGGGGGGGGGGGGGTGAAGGGGCTTGTACCTACTATTAGCCTGAAGTTGATGTCAGTAAAAATAATGTAACTAACGCTTTATTCATGCTTCAGTCTACCAGGTAGGTGTAAAGAACTTTACCTTCTTGTATTTACTTAGGATACTTCCAATTATTACTCACTTTTCTGTTGAATGGCTCTCAGCATAAAAATGCTGAACGTGGAATACAAAAATGGCTTCAAAAAAAGTGTTGTTCATCTTTAGTAAATTACTAAATGAGGATAAAGGCAGAAATCAATATTAACACCTAAACAGTTCAAGTGAAAATCACAAAAGATTATTGATAGCTTCATCACCACAGGAAAGAATATTTTCTTTCCCATTCTAAGTATCATTTATTGCCCAGAAGTTACTAGCAAAGATTTTTTTTGATGCAGCTTCTGCAGTTTCTATAAAAATTTGATCAGGTTTATAAAACAAATTCTTGTTAAAGACATTTAAGTAAAGTTTTAATAGATGACAAACTTTTTAAAATTTATCTGTAAAGCAGCTATCACCAGAAGAATCTGAAGAGCTGGATTTGTGGTCTTTAAAATATGAAAATGGTAACATTTTAAAAGGAAGCAAGAATTAACAAAACCTAGTAGTTACCTAGTTTTCTAAGATTGCTAGGCTAGTTAAACTACATAGTTGACCTTGCTTGGTTTCATCTTAAACAACAATAGCTATTGCTGAAGTACAGTCAAAAGACACCTCAAATCTTATCTTGAAAATATAGCAACAAATTAAAAGCAAGTAGTAAATATTTTAACTGTTAAGTCTTTACCATTATGCAAAAATACTCATTCACATTATTGCAAATGAGAATACAGATACGGTCATCATTTGATGCTTGTTAGTCTCCAGATTAAAAACGAGCGAGTATGACCAAGGAGAAAAGGTAGAAGAAACAGCTATTGCAATGAAAATTTCATATTCCAGAATATCAAGACCCCAGTTTCCTTCTCTTCATGTCTGCTAGTGACTGGAAAGCTTCAAGAGAGAAAGACGGTTAACCGTGCTGCATACCTGAAACATAGAACTTCCTCCTCCTCCCTTTTTTCAGCACTGATAACTACTCATAGAGACTTTGGAAAAAGAGACATGAAGAGCATAGGGAATTGCTGTGAAACAAGACAATAACACCTTTTTTTAAAAAAAAAAAAAAAAAGGCAGCACCAGTGAACAGTACTATTGGCTGACTTACTGTCCAGCTGCATTATTTGAGGGACAGTATAGGGGTAGCATAGGTCTTGCTGCAGCCTCCCAAAGGCTGCTAAAAGGCAGAACAATTGTTCCAGAAAGACCCTTCAAAAGATTAATGCATCGCAGTAAATTGAGTGAAGATGCTGGGATTCTATGGCTAGCCATCTGACTTCCCTAAACGTAACACTTTCCAGAAGGTAACAAAAGGGATGAAATAGTAAGTGAGAAACTTGTAGTTGATTAAAAGAGACATAGTGATGCTGCAGTATTATGAGCATCTCAGGATTTTAACATGAAGGCTAAAGACATGCTAGCTTCTTGGTGGGTATTAAATGTCTGTTTATTACTAACATTTGTCAGAGAGCAATGTTAGGAGCCATCTGACTATATATTCTGCAGAAAGTGTTTGCTTTTTGATCTTCTAAATTATTAATATTTATTACTATTAGTCATAGCTTAATTGTAAACTATTGGAATTAGTTTACTACTACCAGTTTTGATACTGTTCTTTTTCAGGAAACTTTGTTTTAATACCGTGGTGTCTTTTCAGAATTGCTTTAAAATGTGGAAAGTTGCTCCCTTGAAAATATACTCACCTAAAGCAAGCAGGATCTTGGATATTAAAAATGCTATGAAGAACTGACTCACTTTTCTTCTATTTAAATTTTTAATCAGTCCCTCTCCTAAGATTTTACAATGAACTAAGCTTTAATAATCAGTATAGCAGATGAGTACGTCTCATCAGCTGTGTTTAGTCTGTGTTCCAGATCATTCTGTTATAAGTTATCACTGTGTTATTTAAATACTGTTTAGGCGACAAATGCATTTATTAGTTACTAGTTTAAGACTTTAATATATAACTCAAGTGTAAGGGGTTTATTTTAGGACTATGAGATAGTAACAATATAAAACTTGTAGTTGCATTAGGAAGTGGCAGCTTCAAAGTGAGAGGACTGGGAATCTGCAGAATTAGTTTTCATCCAAACGTCAGTTCAGAGATTTCATAGTTGAAAGCTTCAGAGGTAAACCACAAAATAACAGAAATGGAAGACGGTATGTGTAAATCTGATTGTTGTTGTTAAGACGTCTTCCATCTTTACGTGCTATGATGCTGTTATCCCTTACAGGTTTATACAGTTCATTCCCATCAGCAAAAATTGAATACATTTCTGAAGAGAGGGCCAAATAAGCCATTGCATACACAAGGCATGTCAGCATCTGCATCCTTTGGTTATGAATAAAAATTATAAGAAACAACTTATTTTTGAGCGAGAATATTGACTTATTTCTGTATGAAAAAAATGCTACAGAAGAAAACTGAAAATGTTTTCTGTTTGTTGCTGGCTAAGATTTTGCTTGAAAATATGGTGAGCAAAAAATACAAAAGCATTTTTTGGGGAAAGCTGCGCATCTAGAAATTTATAGATGGATGGTTACAGAGGGATGAAATGAAGAATAGGTGTTTGGATCCCAGTTCCCTAAAGCCTCCTTGAAAATTCTAGCTTTTATCTTTACTAGAAGTAGACAGTTAAGAAAAAAAAATCAGTAAACAGGACATATTTCAAAGAGCAGAGATAGAATTCTAATAAGTTATAATTAATTCTGCATTTAAATCAAGAATACTAGCAACTATGTATAGTGTAAGAAGAAATTTAGAAACTTGTCTGAATTTTGATTTTTTTTTTTTTATTTCAAAATCATAAATAACAGTGGTTTCCATTTTACCATGTAAATAATTCTTGCCTGAACAGGATAAGATGGTACATTACCAGCTGTGGCAGGACTTCGAGTAAGGTTCAAGTCGGTAACATTAATTAAGTTATTGGCTGGTAGAAGGATCCTCTTCA